GTTACTGGTCTAAGATTACGGCATCGAACCGAATAACGCTTTTTTTAAACTGCTCGGATCTTCCCCAAGTTTAGTCAGCACCAACTGGTTGTAAAGTAGCCGAGAAAAGGAGGACTATCTGGAACGAATAATAATTATGTTATCATTCGATCACCGAGTTCTTTTTTTTAGCGCATAAACTAATGGCTGGAAGTGATCAGCCATTTGCACGAAAGAGCGATCAAAAGAAGGAGAAAAGCGTGGTATCATTTACGCATGGGCAACCAAACACAGTTGGACGACATTGCGCATGAGCAGACCATTATTTGTACTCAGTTACTTGCAGGCCCAGTGGTGAGCTCTCGGCCAATGAAAAGGAAGAAAGATTTGCATCGAATGATAATTTAATTTTACCATACTGTGGACGTCAATAACAATGACTGACTGGCTGATTAACTGATGGCACGTAGTTATCGGTTCCAGTGTTCTTAATCAGGCCTTTACCAAGGCAAATATTACATCTACCTGACAGGTTTATAGTTTGCTATTTTTCCTTTATATGTTTCTTTTTTAGTCTCATTCGATGAAGTTTCCTGAATACCTTACCATATTAGGTCTGTAAGCATCGCCAGGTCGGAACGAGATCGTCACAAAACAGTTGGTATTGCGAGAAAAGCAACGACTCGCCACGCGCATCTTGGTATATTTCTTTAACATTTGCTGCCCGACTATGACGTGAAACTTGTAATGTGAAGTTGCATGGACGACGTCAAGACACGAGGACGAATTTGTCTGCCTGTTTTTTAACAAACTTGATACAGCTCGTTAGAATTAAGCTCTAGGGAAATTGGCCTCCATTTGATAAATTTAACGAGGCTAAAAAGGGAATAGAGTGTGCGGAAAGAACGCAAATTCCTTTAAGTGAAATTTCGCTGCTTTTGCGTGGTAGTCAGTCTACATGCAGCTTATTAACTTTATTTTATTCGATCCTGTTTTGCAGGAGCAGTTAAAGTTACCATCTTCGCAAACATAATCTGGCTGTTGTTAACAATCGTACTTCAATTTACTTTGCCTCCTCTACCAGGCTTCATTTTCGCGACTTCTTTTGGTGTGCTGTTTCTGATTGTCCCTCCAGTCAATTATGTTAGAGCCCTACTCGCTATTCGTCATCATAACGTTCAGTTGGGTGATGAAGTTACGCTACAGATGTCAATAATATTGCAGCGCGAGAAGAGAGTTGCACTTGACATGTGCATTGTCGCCGGCTTGCTGTTTGCTTCTCTCTCCCCAGCTCTTTCCATGGCAACTGTTCAAAAGCGATATGCTCGACTACACTCCATTCTGCTCCCTTGGAGTTTGATAATGTCGTTTATTCCGTCCGCTGCGAATCCACTCATTTACTTTGTACGTAATAAGAAGATGAGAAATGCCTTTAAATCTATTATCAACATGTAATGGCTCGGCCTTCTGCAGTCAACCATCAGTAGGAAATCGCTTTTATACAAGAGCTTTAACCTAGCCGAAAGGATTACGGAATAACTAGCACTTAGTTCGTTTACTGGTCATTTAAACCCTATTTTATTCAGCTTGAAACATTAAGGTGTTTCGATAAAATTTTTCGGAGACCATATCGATGATATTTTTCAATCGCGTCAGCCAAACTCCTCCTTTCACAAGACTGGAAGAGGCGTTACAAAAATCTCAAGGAGTTGAATGCAGGAGGTTTTTGTCACTGCCTTCTCACTTCGCCTCCTCCCCGATCGTTTTCTTTTTCGTCCTCGATTCACCCTTCGCGGGACTGAATCTGTTACTTCACGACGAATCAGAAAAAAATACACGCTAAAAAATTCTTTTTAGTCCTCGGTTAGCTTTCGTGGGCTGATTACCTTCCGAAGTGAAGAGAATGATCTAAGAGAACGAATCCCCCATATATAACCCTCTTTCCATGAAAATTATTTTCAATCTATTCTTGGTTATGTGTCACACTGCGTGGTTATTCTAAGGACGCCACCTTATTGGTCGGTTAGAGTGACGTCATGTAATTTTAAACTTGGCGGGTAGTTCATTTCACTGCCGATCACGCACAGCAAGCGATATGACGTGCAACTTGGTATTACTATCGTCGACGAGTCAAAAGATTTATACGTGGAATAATCTGGCCAGAGTAACTGACGACGAGCAAAACGGTCCTGGCTTGTGGGAGTTCGCCGGAGAAAGCGGTTCCGACTCGGCGAAAACTGCTTATTGACTGTCTTCGCTACATCAGTATACAAACAACCAACATTAAAAAAAGACAACTGTCTCTTCCGGCGACATCCACACACACCAGCGAGCTGTGTTACCGTCCGGTTTGGATCCAACCATGGACACGTAACGAGAAAATAGGTTCAAAGTGGGTTTAAACATCAATGTTTGGCCCCAAACATTTGAATTTTGTGAAGGCTCTAGACAAATGTGGGCACACCGCTCACTATAAAGAATTGACCGAAACCGGAAACCACGCATCAAGACTCTCTGGCATCCAGGTTAGCGACTGTTTAACAGCTTGAAGCATCTGACCTGATTTGTGTTTGTACAGCAAAATATTCATCGCAAGTATTAGACGTTAAGAAGAAGTAATGGAGTTTGAAACTCTCACGAATAATTCTTAAAACAAATGTATTGTTTCTGAACAAAAAATATTCCTGGGAAAAGAGAAAAACATCTTGCACATTTGCATAAACAATTGAAGCCAGCCACTTATTCAAGGTTTCTATGATAGATAGACAAGAATTAGAGATATTCAATATTCCATCACTTTAATTGTTTAATGAACTCATTATTGCAATCAAATATTTTTTTATGGAATAAGAACGTTGATAATTTCTGTGTTGTAAAATTACCTTGAATAGTCTTTATCGCTCACTTTGTGTTTTTCTGAGTGCTTTTCGCTTCGGCATCGGCAACTAGTTGTTGCAAGTCGTCGTTCTCCAACTGCGCGAAGCGACGTTTTTCTTGTTGTTTTTCGTATATTTGCTCTACCTTTGCAGCTTCAAGCACCAACTCACTGTCAAAAATTTCTCCCCATATGTTAAAATTTGGTTCTTCTTTGTCCATGTTGAGGGGTAAAATTATTTTTGAGAAAACCAAAAACAAAACAAGCGGCACTGCGTGACATGTTACGTCATTTCCATGGTCTATACTCTCACAGACCATAGCTCTCGACCAATCAGCGCGCGAGGATTCGCTCAGTTATATTGTAAAATTACAAGCGTAACCGTATGGTTACGAATTCTTTTCCAAGACCATCACTGTGATCGAATTTAATCTATAATTTTCACTTTTTGTTTTTAAATCAATTACACTGTAAGTATAAATTTCTGGATTTCTTTGATTAGGTTGAAGCTTATTCGTCTTACTTTTTTGGGTTCAAGTAACTAAATGTATGTAAATTGAAGCTTCGCTTTTAGCCTTGGCTAAATCTATTTATTAAAAGTATAAAGGAGGACGTGCTTATATCGTAAGAGTACATTACGAGAAAATAAATGGTAAATTCAAAATACCAACTGACTGTAAAATGAAGCGTAGCGGCCATTATCCACTAGATGAATTCCGGTCGATCAACCGCCAATAAAGCACTAGAAATAAAGCGCGGCACTAATGCACTTTCAAGAGGTTTGTACTTAATCAAAGGTGTCGGAAAACAGACCATGATACAGTTTCAGGTGATCATACTAAGCAATATTCTTTGATTCAAAATCGATCGTGTCACGGCTTCAAATTTGATTTATATACTCAGTGGTGAGTGACAAAATTTTTACTTTTCTCGCTTTACTAGGTGCTGAAGAAATACAATTGTTAGGAGCAGTAGTGTAGAAGGTAGAGGTCAAAGCCTTTTGGCAGTGAACGTTAGATTTGAGTTAATATTTTTAAAGACTGTTAGATAACAGTGTAGGTGGATCTCATGATTATCGAAGAAAATCAAATTTGCGAAAAGAAATTTAAAAAGCCAGTGAATGTTAGCGAAGCTCGCTTATTTATAACTCATCGAATTGAAAAGACCTTTCTTTTGAGTTTCTTTTTCAAACAAAGCGATTGGAAATGTTATGTCTTGAGCTAGCCGGTAATATTACACTTACAACATTTAGCTTGCGGCCCTTCCAGTAGTCGAACGATACTTCCCTGTGTTTTTACCTGTTTGTTTTCCAATCAGAATTGAAAGTTTAAAGTTTAGTTTCGCGATGGACTGTGACGCATAAAAAGGCCCCTCAAATTTCTGAGCTTATCATTTTGCGGTAAACAGCTATATATTTCATTAAAAAAAAAATACACACATTTTCGGTGAACCCTCAAGAGCCGATGGAGATCAATTTTTAACAATAAGTAGCATTCATGCTTTTTAGGATCGCAAACGTAACGACCTTTTTATTATTCACCGAACCTGAAAAATTTTGAAAGCGAAACTCCATTAATAAAACGCTGAACAATTTTACAAAATCATTGCCTGAGTAGCG